ATACCAACCTACAAAAACTTAAAATGGTTTTAGTAGAAATTTTGTGTTTTCGTATTTATCACTCTGTACCAAATACATCAAATAATTTATCCATAATTTATCTAATTGATGATCGACTGTTATTTAATCGTTATTTCTGTAAATGACCGTTATTTAATCGTCATGAGACATGAGTCACGAACTCACGACGCCGCCGTTGTCGTCATCGGCCACTGCCGTCCTTGAAAAAAATATTAATGTAAGTATAATATTATATAGGTACTTTTAATTTTTACCTTAGTAATAGATACATAATTTGTTTGTAATGCATAATGTACTTTAATGATCGGTAGTGTACCTACTMAAGAGTATTCATATTATTTTATTCATAACTAGTCCAAATGAAATCATTCGAAACTCAACTAATCGTATACACATGAGCACTCTTCCTTAATATMTATCAGCTTAGAACTTGAATTCATTGTGTATTGTTTGTATGATCATTGATTATTAAGAAATTTTAATTTTTTAATCTAAACTAATGATTAATTTTTATTACTCGTGTGTTAATCAAATATGCTTTTACTTAATATGCAATTAAAACCTTAAGGACTGCAGGTACTTGTTTATTGGTGCACCTTATTCAAATATATTTCACTATTTCTTATATTTTAGAACCTAAAATATATAAAGAGTATAATAATAAAGTAGTATAATAAAGATTTACTGTAGTAACTTCAAAGGAGTTGACATTTTTATTGGGCTGTTTGATTATTTAAATATTTTTTATTGTGTTAAGAATACTTTTTAAATACTTCTCGAATAAAGTATTTGAAAACTATTTTAAATATGGTCTTGGATGTATTTGTATTTGAGAATCAAATACTTTTATTTAAATACTTAACCTATTCTTTTATACAATAAACAATTATTTATTATCTTTTTTCTAGTCAGAAATCAAAAGTACTATCATTGAAATTTTGTCTTATATATGTAATACAATAATAAATAATACCTAGCTCGTAAGTTGTGGGATAATATAGCTATTG